GGGGTAGTTTTCACAACACCTGTGTTCTGGCAGCAAACTCATTGCAAAAAAGAATAATGTCACTTCCCAAAGGGGCAGGGATGCTTCATGATAAAGAGGGATGCTGAGGACAGCAGAAGGTGAATATATCAGTATCCAGCTGAGTGAGGCTAGGATAAAAGGGCCTTATGCTTACAGGAAGTGGGGTTGCTGCTATCAACCCAGACATTTTAAGTCCAGAATATTCCATTTTGGCTGAAGCAAGCTGGGCAATCTTCGGCTAGACAGTATAACTGTTACTGCCGTTTTGACCGTTGTTTCTGCTTCCATTCACTGCTGCTGATTGTTTAAGATGGGCAAGGCTGTACATACATTACCTCAAACCACAGAAGACTCCTGCAAGGTAGATTTTACCCTCCCAACTTCAGAGATAAGGAAACTGAGGCTGAGAAAGGGTGATATGACTCTTGTGGAACGGATCTGGTCCAAGGCATTCCTTACTGCATCGTGCTGCCTCAATCTGTAAACCTTCATCGAGGTGACTATTCTGTTTGCTCTGTAAACCACTTGTTACTTTCCCTAAAGCCTTCCATGCCAGAAAATATTCTAGAATAAAACAGATTAAACCGCTGATGACCTTGGCCCACTTAATCTTATCATGTCTGGCTTCCATCATGAACCAATTAATTACATACATTAATCTGTTGAGACCAATCACCTAGGCATGAAATGGTATTTTGAAATTACTTCCCAAGGCTGTTTAAGAATCACTATTATAAAGACACATGCATTCATATGTTCACTGCAGAACTATTCACAATAGCAAAGAATGGAATTGACCTAAATGTCCATCAATGACAGACTGGATGAAGAAAATGTGGTACATACACACCATGGAATACTATGCAGTCATAAAAAGGAATGAGAGCGTGTTCTTTGCCGGACCATGGATGGAGCTGAAGGCCATTATCCTTAGCAAACTAACACAAAAACAGAAAACCAAATACCTCATGTTCTCATTTATAAGTACCAACTAAATGATGAGAACACAGGGCCACATAGAGGGGAACAGCCCACACTCTGGGGCCTATCAGAGGGTGGGGGGTGAGAGGAGGGAGAGGATCAGGAAAAATAACTAATGGGTACTAGGCTTAATACCTGGGTGATGAAATGATCTGTGTGACAAACCACCACGACACAAAGTTACCTATACAACAAACCTGCACGTGGACCCCTGAAGTTAAAAGTTAAAAAAAAGAATCATGCAAGAAAATCTTAACATGGGAAGCCAAAGTCAAACACCTACAGAGGCCAGGCAGGTAGCCTAAATGAGGAGGACCGCTCAGGGATAAGACGGGAGTGCGTGGAGACTGCAAAGACCTAGGGAGAATAGGCGCCGTCGGAAGGGCCCCACCCGTCCCGAGCTCGGGCAGATTGCTGTCACGAAGAAACGTGAGCCTCGTGTGGCTAGACCTTATTTTTCAAATGAAGCCAGAAACACAGTTTTTATGTGAAATCTCTCAATGTTTAAGTGTTAGACACCTATCTCAGAGAAACAAACAAACAACACTAGCAGGGCCAAAAACGACAGAAACTTTCGGGCTCATAGCTCATGACCTTTTCTTTAAAATCATAAGTCCGCTTTGACTAAAAAACAGGATTACCTCTGCCACTACCCCCACCCCGCCCCAATCCACTTCATTGGGTACACCTGGGTCCAGATTGCTTTTGCAACCCGAAAAAAGGCAAAAGGTAAGACTTGCCAGTCTTAACTGTACTGAAGTAATGTTTAAAACCTCGGTGTATGAAGTTGCTTATATGAATGGGGACTCTCCTCAACATGCTTCTTTTTTTTTTTTTTTAAATGGCAGCAGTGGGCCAGGAGTGGTGGCTCACACTTGTAATTCCAGCACTTTGGGAAGCCAAGGCAGGCAGATCACCTGAGGTCAGGAGTTTGAGGCCAGCCTGGCCAATATGGTAAAACCTTGTCCCTACTAAAAATACAAAAAAATTAGCTGGGCATGGTGGCGCTTGCCTGTAATTCCAGCTACTTGGGAGGCTGAGGCAGGAGAATCTTTTGAACCTGGGAGGTGGTGGTTGCAGTGGGCCAAGACTGTGCCATTGCACTCCAGCCCAGGCGACAGAGTAAGACTGTGCAAAAGCAAGAAAGCAAGAAGGAAAGCAAGCAAGCAAGCAAGAAAGAAAGAAAGAAAGGAAGGAAGGAAGAAGGAAGGAAGGAAGGAAAGAAAGAAGAAAGAAAGAGGGAAGGAAGAGAGAGAGAAAGAAAGAAAAAGAAAGAAAGAAAAGAAAGGAAGGAAGAAAGAGAAAAAAAAGAAAGGAGGGAGGGCAGGTGGAAGGAAGGAAGGAAGATGGCAGCAGAGTCTACAAAGCGCGCGTGCCACCTAGAGGCAGTGGTAGTCATACGTGCCTTCTCAGTGATTCAGTGATGCACTATATGCCAGAGTGACTTTAAAGTATGAGGAAGCCATTAGCACTGCTCCAGTGACCACATACTTTTGCTTCCTCTTCTCCAAACTGATCTGCCATATTACTTTTTTTTTTGAGACCAAGTCTTGCTCTCTTTCCCGAGGCTGGAGTGCAATGGTGCAATCTTGGCTCACAATAATCTCCCTCCCCGCCGCCAAGTTCAAGTGATTCTCCTGCCTCAGCCTCCTGAGTAGCTGGGATTACATGTGCCTGCCATCACGCCCAACTAATTTTTGTATTTTTAGTAGAGAGGGGCTTTCACCATGTTGGCCAGGCTGGTCTCGAACTCCTGCCCTCAGGTGATCCACCTGCCTCGGCGTCCCAAAGCACTGGATTACAAGCATGAGACATGGCACCCTACAAATTTTTGTAATTTTAGTAGAGATGGGGTTTCACCATATTGGCCAGGCTGGTCTCAAACTCCTGCTCTCAGGTGATCTGCCCCCTCCCCTTGGCCTCCTAAAGTGCTGGGATTACAGCTGTGAGCCACTGAGCCCAGCCTGGGAACTGTTTAAGATAGTCTCAGTGATGAAGACTGCTAAATAGTAGAACAATCACAGCACATAGTAAAGACACAGTAAATATTCATTACATTGAAAAACTGAAATTGATTTGTTTCCTTAAGATTCCATATATCTGCCACGACCTACCTGATTACTCCCTTCTCATTAATTTATTAGCACCTATGCCATATGAATACAGTGAGGCAGAGAACTGTGAGAACCAGTCACTGACATCACTCACATGGCTCCAGGCTGGAGGTAAGCAAGAGAAGGACATTAAGGGAGGGTGGAGGTTGCAGTGAGAGTGTTGAGGACGCGGCGGGACACTGTAAAGTGGCGGTCACGGTTGGGTTTGCATACACATCTGCACAGGTTTTGTTTGGGGACAAAACAATGGCACTGAGGATAGATCCCTGACTCGGCTTACCTCGTCAGCTTCATCATTTGCCTACCAGCCCAGCCCACCCTTCCTGGACCCAGAGGGAGGAGCTCACATGCTTCTCCCGGTGCCCCCTGCTTTCTCTCTGTGCAGAAACACTCTCCAGCGCCACACCCCCACGCCAAGCCCTGGCCCTCCTCTCTCAGAGTCTCTGCTCACTACAGGAAAGGGCGACGCTTTCATTATCAATTGCTTAGGCTTTGACCAGCATGGGGTGGACCCTGCTGCCTTTCAAGCAGTGTTTGACAGAAAGGCCTTCAGTTCAGTCGCCAACGACAGCGTCCCCACTCATGTCGACAGCTCCTTCACCCTGTCTGCCATCTGAAGTGGTAAGTCCTCATCCAGTGTTGCAGTTGCAGTGGGCTAGTACTGAGCTGTGGATCCTCTCATTGGATTTTTTTTTTTTGAGATGGAGTCTCGCTCTTGTTACCTAGGCTGGAGTGCAGTGGTGCGATCTCGGCTCACTGCAACCTCCACCTCCTGGGTTCAAGTGAGTCTCCTGCCTCAGCCTCCCAAGTAGCTGAGATTACAGGCGCCCACCACCACATCCAGCTAATTTGTGTATTTTCAGTAGAGACGGGGTTTCACCATGTCGGCCAGCCTGGTCTCAAACTCCTGACCTCAAGTGATCCGCCTGCTTTGGCCTCCCAAAGTGCTGAGATTTTTGTAAAATTAGTTACTCACAACAACAATAACAAAAAACCCAAACAACCCAATTCAAAAATGGGCAAAGGACTTGCATAGACATTTCTCCAAAGAAGATATACAAATAGCTAATAAGCACAAGAATAGTTAAGAAAATGCAGATCAAAACTACAATAAGATACCATCTCACACCTGTTAGGATGGCTGCTATTAAAAACAGACAATAACAAGTGTTGGTGATGATGTGGAGAAATTGGAAGCCTTGTGCACTGCTTGTGAGGATGTAAATGGTGCAGCCACTGTGGAGAAACAGTACAGCTGTCCCTCAAAGTATTAAAAATAGAATTACTGGCCAAGCATGGTGGCGCATGCCTGTAATCCCATCCCTTTGGGAGGCCGAGGTGGGCAGATCACGAGGTCAAGAGATTGAGGCCAACCTGGACACTATGGTGAAACCCCATCTCTAGTCTCTACTAAAAGACAAAAATTAGCTGGGTATAGCGGCGTGTGTCTATAGTCCCAGCTACTCAGGAAGCTGAGGCAGGGGAATTTCTTGAACCTGGGAGGCGGAGGTTGCAGTGAGCCAAGATCGCAAAGAGTGGGTGGTGGCATTGGACCTGCCTTCCTGGAGTTAATCATCTAGATGAAAGCTGCTTTTCCAGGATTCATTCACACCTTCAACAGCGACCTCGTTCCTGAGGTGAAATATGATATGGTAGACTCAGTTTCCCCTTTCCTCTTCTCTGGTACCTCCCTTTTTTCACTACTAGGTCCAGCTTTGCAGATTATATTGGATAAATCTGAGAATATCCATAAATTAGACAACCTCAAAGAGTCAGACCAATAATGAAAATACAAAAGTTTCTGATTATTCTGCCAGTTTAGGAGGGCAGAGAAAGGGCACAGGGAGAAGGTGGCATACGCTAAGGCCCTGGGAGCCAATACGTATGTGGCTCCACCCCACGGAATCTGGAGCCAAGCTCGAGCTCTGCCCTGAGAGCACCGAGGTAGAGGGGGAAACAAGCAAGGCTTTGTTCGTGTGACGACGTCACCAGAGAGAGGGTGGGAGAGTGAAGAAACGGGCGAAAAAAGGAACAGGAGGGTGCAGAAGAGAGAGCAAAACTAAAACCAGTTCCCTCCCCCTGATTCTCTCATGCCATGGTTTCCTATAGATCTAGCACAATCAATTCTTTTTTTGTTGTTGTTTCTTTGTTTGAGACAGAGTCTCACTCTGTCACCCAGGCTGGAGTGCAGTGGTGCGATCTCAGCTCACTGCAACCTCTGCCTCCCGGGTTCAAGCGAGCCTCCTGCCTCCTGCCTCAGCCTCCCGAGTAGCTGAGATTATAGGCACCTGCTAGCATGCCCAGCTAATTTTGGTATTTTTAGTAGAGACGGGGTTTCACCATGTTGGCTAGGCTGGTCCTGAACTCCTGACCTTCAGTGATTCCCCTGGCTCAGCCTGCCAAAGCTCTGAGATTACAGGCATGAGCCCCTGCACCCGGCTTTGGCACAATCAATTCATGTGGTGGAACCCAGATGAACGCGGAGGCATCAAGAAGTCCAGCCAGCATGGCAGACATCTGAGAACATGAGAAGACATCTGAGAACCTATGGCTTCCAGATGTCCTCATGGAGCAGTCGGGAGTATCAGGGCCAAAAAAGCCAGAAGGAAACCACATCTACAGGGAAGGACACGATGCTACCAACGGGGCCGCACACAGACTCAACTTAGAAAAGAGCAGGGTCTGAACGGAAGGACTTACAAACCCCCAGAATATGATTATAGGTAGAAGGGAGAAGTCATCTGAGTGGGGCTGGAGCTCAAGAATGGGGTGACCTGAGAGGGAAAGAAGGCCACACCTGATGGGGAAACCCAAAGCGCCATGGCACCTACCTCCCTGTCCTCCCACACAGCATCAGTGGGGATCAGACACCTGCAGCTCCCACGGCTTGTGCCAACAGTGAAGGTCACATTGGATACAGTAAGCCGATGCGGTGGTCAGCATCTGTAAACCAGACGGCTCTATTTCCCATTCCATGAACGGAGCTGCACGCTCTCCTTCGGCTCTTTCACCTACAAAGGTAAGTGGGCTCATTAGACTGCTGAGAGGCAGAGAGAGGGCTTTGAGTGAGAGGAGGACAGAAAGCTGGGAATCATGAGGGAACCTTGAACTCCCGGCCTCGGGGGATCTGCCCGCCTTGGCCTCCCAAAGGTGTGAGCCATGGAGCTGGCCTTTGTCACTTTTTTTTTTTTTTTTTGAGATGGAGTTTTGCTCTTGTCACCCAGGCTGGAGTGCAATGGAGAAATCTCAGCTCACTGCAACCTCCGCCTCCTGGGTTCAAGCGATTCTCCCGCCTCAGCCTTCTGAGTAGCTGGGATCACAGGCCCACACCACCATACCAGACTAGTTTTTGTATTTTTAGTAGAGATGGGTTTTCACCACATTGGTCAGGCTAGTGTCGAACTCCTGACCTCAGGTGATCCGCCTGCCTCGGCCTCCCAAAGTGCTGGGATTACAGGTGTCAGCCACCCTCCGACATACACCTTTTGTTACTCTTTTCACTGATAAAACTTCAGTACTAAAATGGTACTTGTACTCAGTAAATAGCTGTTAAATAAATCATCCCTTGAGGAAAGAACAAAGCCTCAATGCCAGTGATTCATAGCGAGGATGCGCTTCCCCTTCCCCAGCGGCTGTCAGAACTTTTTGGAAGGCAGGAATTTTTGTTTCTTTTTGGAAATATATGGTAGAAAGAGTTAGGAGACACTGTCTTAGGGATATTATGATTCCAAACCCTGACAACCCCAAAACATCTGTTACTGTCTGCTTTCCCTCCCATCCGTCTTAAATGTTCACCTGCAAAGTCACTAGAGATTAGACCTTGATGAGATAAAGCAACTCGAAATGAAAAGATCAGGTGCACACCACACCTCACTCGGTGGCTCCGCAGTCTTGCTAAGAGCACGCTGGTAGGAATAAAAATTTCAGGGGAGAAAGTTAACACATTGGGCCAAAAGGAATGAGATACATTTCAGTGGTGAGCAGCATGGGAGACGCCAGCCTTGGGAGAGGCCTTTGGATGGCAAGACCGGCCGGTGAAAGGGAGGGGAGGTGGTGTTTTCTTACGAGGCTGCTGGGCTGGGGACAAATCCCAGTTCTTGCGCTTACCTGTCCTGGCAGCCTTCCAGCCTGCTCCTCACTTGCCCTTCCCTCTCCTCCCCACCAGGTGGCCCTCAGGCGCAGACCCAGTCGCTGTGTCATAAATCTTCTGGTGCCGCCCAGCGGCGGGGTTCTGGTTGCCCTCAGCTTCCACCTGCCACTGGGAGGTCGGAATCGCGCCCCGTTCAAGACACATCTTCCTGCTCATGATGATTGACTTGCTCCCAGCCACTAGCACCCCCTTCATCAGTACGTTCTCATCTATCCAGAGACCAAAAGCGAGAGGTGGGTTGGGTGGGAAAGGGCCGGTGGAACCAGACAAGGTGAAAAGGGTCCTGGAAAAAGAGCCTCCGGGCAAGAAGAAACAAGAAATTCGAGGTGATGCCTCTGTCCCTCACGCAGGCCTGCCTCGCCTGCAGGTGTCTACTTCGCGCTGTGCCTGTCCCTGATGGTGCTCAGCCTGCTGGAGACCGTCTTCATCACCCACCTGCTGCACCTGGCCACCACCCAGCCCCCACCCCTGCCTCGGTGGCTTCACTCTCTGCTGCTGTCCTGCACCAGCCCAGGGAGATGCTGTCCCACTGCGCCCCAGAAGGGAAATGAGGGCCTGGGTCTCACCCCCACCCACCTGCCCGGTGAGGGAAGTCATACTTCCTCCTCCCCCACCTCCCCTTCTCCGCTTCTGCCTCCTTCCCTGCCTCCCTCCCTCCACAGGTGACATTCGCAGCCCATGGCTGAGTCTCTGTCTTTCTGAAGGTGCAAAGGAGCCAGAGGTGTCAGCAGGGCAGAAGCCAGGCCCCGGGAAGGCAGAGCCGACAGGGGGCTCAGAACGGACAAGGGTCCAGCGGGAGCACGGGGCCCAGAGGCAGCAGTCGGTGGAGCTGTGTGTGCAGTTCAGCCACGCGATGGACACCCTGCTCTTCCGCCTCTACCTGCTCTTCATGGCCTCCTCCATACTCACCGTCATCGGCCTCTGGAACACCTAGGCAGGGGCTCACCTGTGAACTTCAGTCTGGAGCTTCTCTTGACTCCAGGGGCCAGCCAGGCTCTCATGCCTGTCCAAATATCAGCCCCACTGCCCTGGCCACCCCCTCATTTATGACCCAGTCCTCTGTGTAGTTTCCGACCAGACCGGAATAGTTTCCTATGCCCTCCAAAACTCAGGTCTTCACTCCTGTGTGCCATCAGCCCCGCTCAGCCCTCCCAGGAGTCCTGCCTCCCTGGATCCTCAAGATTGGGTTCCTAGGGGACGTCCTTGATTGAATCACCCCCATACACCCCTTTGCAGAAAGTATTGGCTTTTCCCTGAATTATGTTACGGTAAAACATCTTGGGATTGAGAGTCTTCTTGCAGAAACTTCTCATTAGCCAAAGTAGGAAGGAGTTTCTCTTATGTATATGTGTTTGTAAGACTGTCAGGCAACATGTCAAGTGAGAGAAAGAGAAAGAAGGGGCCAAACTCTATTAGAAGCAATTACAGTAAAACAGAGATTAACTTCCTAAATCCAGTTACTCTGGATCTAAGCTTCAGAAATTTATGTACAAAAACCAGGCCTCTCCTGAAGCTTTTTGTCACAGCCTGGCACATGACTCATTCGTCATTAAGTACTTAGAGTGTTAACATAATCCTCATTACGGCTAACAGTGTCTGTGTGGCAATTTGAGTCGATCTACCCTTAATCATGCTAGGAAAAGAATACGAGGCCAAGGGAGGCATATTTGAAAATGACAGCTACAGGCCGGGCGCGGCAGCTCACGCCTGTAATCCCAGCACTTTGGGAGGCCGAGGTGGGCGGATCACGAGGTCAAGAGATCGAAACCAGCCTGGCCAACATGGTGAAACCCCGTCTCTACTAAAAACACAAAAATTAGCTGGGCATGGTGGTGTGTGCCTGTAGTCCCAGCTACTCAGGAGGCTGAGGCAGGAAAATCGCTTGAACCCGGAAGGCGGAGGTTACAGTGAGCCAAGATCACGCCACTGCACCCAGCCTGGTGACAGATCGAGACTCTGTCAAAAAGAGAGAAAGAGAGAGAGAGAGAAAGAAAGAAAGAGATCTACTTTACTTGGGAGAGACACAAATGGCCCTGTGTGCACCAGAAAGTGCCTTTTTCTAACACTCGCCTTATGTTGATGGTCTTTGTCTAGGGGCCAACAGCTGCCTTGCACAAGTGGAGGCTTCACTGCGCCCTTGGGCATGAGAGCAATCGCACTTTTTGGTTCAGAAAAGCACCTATTTGAGAGCAACTTAATTACAACTCAAACATGATCTTTTCTTTTCTCTTTTTCTTTTTTTTTTTTTGAGATGAAGTTTTGTTCTTGTTGCCCAGGCTGGAGTGCAGTGGTGCCATCTCAGATCCCTCAAACCTCTGCTTCCCAGGTTCAAGCGATTCTCTTGCCTCAGGCTCCCGAGTAGCTGGGATTACGGGCATGTGCCACCATGCCTGGCTAATTTTGTATTTTTAGTAGAGACAGGGTTTTTCCATGTTGGTCAGGCAGGTCCCAAACTCCCGACCTCAGGTGATTTACCTGCCCCGGCTTCCCAAAGTGTTGGGATTCCAGGTGAGAACCACTGCGCCCGGCCTGATCTTTTCTTTTTCACAGTGATTTCTTTTCACTTCTTTAGTTTATTCTCCTACTTTCTATCTGAAGCCCATATTTCCCCAAATCATGACCATCTAGGAGTAAAAATAGACTCACAAAACTGTTTGGTAAAACTTATTTCTCTGGCTTCTTTCCCAAACTCCTTCAGTTCTCTCTGGTCACTGGAGATGCCCAAAGGGTGGCGAGGTGGCTGATGTCCACTAGAGGTGCTGCTAGTACCTGTCATGTTAGCGGCAAGAGCATCAGCTCGCTCAGAGCCGAAGCCATGAGGGGACTGGATCCTGGAGCTGCAGAGGCTCCCGCTGGATGCTGCACCCACAGGACCAGCTGCCACTTGCTCTTTCCTTTCAGTTTCACTGGGACTCCAGAGGGGCCCGTGGGCATCTGGATGTTAAGTCAGAAATACCTGCAATACTCTGAATCCCTCCTGTCACTCAGACCTATTGTCTTTAAACCAAATCGTGTCCCTTCGTTCTCCTTTTAGGATGCATTTTTTGTTTTCCCAAGAGGGTCTGTGGCTCCTCGGTTTTCAGAAGGCTGCCACACATTCTTTCCACCATCTCACCCTCCAGGCACGTCCACAGCCTGGAATGCAGCTCTCACATTCGCCTGAGTGAATTGTTGTGTCTGTTATTATTTTGGCAGTTCCTCAACTCACAGCTTTCAAAAAGGTGGGCCTTCGGAAAAGACACACTAATAGTAACAGTAATTCCCACCAGGTATTGAGTTACTAATGCGTAGCAGGCACTCCAAGGGCGCTGTATGAATCCTTATAGTAACCCTGTAAAGTAGGAACCATAGATTGTTGGAAATAGATGCTCGGTGCTGCAAAGAAAAATTAGCACTGAGACAAAGGATCTTTCAGCAATGCAAT